GGGCTTAGGGTTTAGGGTATATTTAAACAAAAACTTGTTTGTTACTGCCGACTTCAAAACTGGGACCCTCATATAACCGCAATATCGGATCCATACCTTTGGACCCTGAGAAAGGGGACCGAGCGCTTCGAAGAATCCCATACTGCGCAATTGTTGGGCTAATATGTATTTGCAAGGGTGGTTTCCCTTACTGGGTTGAAAGATGTTGGAAGTAATAGACATGCAGAAGTAAACCGACTACTTCTGGGCCATCGAAAACATCTTCTGGGTTGGCCCCTAAAGCCCTTTGAAAAATATTAGTATACGGGGTCCCTTATTAAAGCCATTAGGGGATTTATTAAATATTTCATGGGCCTACCCAGTCTTCTGTAGCAACGATCGAGGGGTCATCGTCGCTCTCAGAGGCTTCCGAGTCGACGAAGTCATCACCCAAACTCACAGCCGATTTCGCCCTGGCCTCCTTGGAGACTTCAACTTCCTGGGCTGAGGGTTTAGGGTTTAGGGATTAGGGGTTAGGGTTTAGGAAATTTCCTGGGCTGTGCTCGCTCCACCAAAGCAACGACTTGGTAAGGCAAGGTAGGAGGGTAGGATGTTCGGCCAGTTTTCCACAACGAAACAATGACAAGCCTTGCTTCCTGCCTCATTTTCCTAGCGGCCTCCGGCCTCATCACGTCTAAAAACCAATCTGCAAAGGTTATTTCCGCAGCACGCTCATTGGAGGCAGAGCCCTTCAAAGCAAGCCTTAACAGATTACCTCAAAATACTCTGGCCCGCCTCGAGTGCGCCTTCCATGCAGTACTTCCGGAACTTCTTCGCGGGCAGCGCTTCTGAGTCCACAGAGGCCAGAGAGGGCGGCGTGATCTTATCCAGGGCTGCAGCAAGGTCCTCTGTTGCTGGGGGGGAATGGCAGGGTGGTAGGGGAATGGATTGATATAGGGATTCTATTTAGGGGATCCAATATGGATGCTGTAGGGATTCATGTGGGGATTATATAGGGATTCTATAGGGAACCCATGATTCTTGGAGGGCGGGGGTAATGAATGACAACTCGCGTGTGCGTGTCTCAAATGGGTACCTGTCTTCAGCAATACTCTGAACAATATGTCTCCTGGGGTATAGAGGTCCGGTCCAGCCCTATAGAGAATAATGGGAAAAAGCAGCACACCTTCCAAAGAACTAGGCTTGGCTTGTTTTCTGTAGGTAAAAATGTCACTTTCGTGTCTGGTACCACAGTCACATCCAAACTCTCCCATACCCTTGTGGCAAAGCCTAAACCTGAAACCCGAACCTGACACAGCCCAGGGTTCGCCGGCACGCTTGCCATACTGTGCTGTTTGTAGGCCGGCACCCGCTGCTGCGGCGCCCGCGAAAACTGGCCCTTGTAGGTCCTCCGCATCGCTGAACATGTGTTGGGGCTCAGGGTTTAATTACTTACTGGTTGTTAGCAAGGAATATGGGAATATCATCTCTATGTAATCCCTATATAATATTTTCCTTATTCCCTACTACCCCCATGTAAGCTTAGGGTTTAAAGGCTACGGCATAGGGCTTATTGTTTGAGGCGTAGGGCCGGCAGAAGCGGTGTTAGGCTTTTGGAATATGTCAAAAGACTTTCAAGTGCCCCGGCTAAACAACCCTGAGCCCTAAACCCTGAATCCTCAACCTTAAACCCTAAACCCTGAATCCTAAACCTTAAACCCTGAACCCTAAACCCTCTTTATGAAGCTCGAAGTTTCTTGGTGGATCAACCAGGTAAGTCCACATGCTCGTCACCGTATGTAGGATACTCAACCGAAGCAAGATCATACAGCCCCCTGAAATCAGAAGCCGCGACATCAAAGTTTGTTCTTGAGCAGGCACTTGGCTATTACTTAACAATCCCCCTACTCCGCAAGTATCAGAGAGTCAAGGCCCGATTGATCAGGTCCCCCTAAACCTTAAAATCCTACCCTCCCCAAGATAAACATGTGACATGAAAGTATTCCCTTCTATCAAATGGCGTCTTTTTGTGCAGTGCCTTTTTGGGGGGCTTCCATGTTGGGCCGGCAAAATGTATCTATATGAATATGCATTTGTATGTATCCGGACAAAACCCAACGAAGCCATGTAAATCCCGATAGAAACCCAACATCCCAATCTCAAGTCTCCTTCAACTTCAATGGGGTTCTTGCCGGCGGCCTGGGCATCGCCTTGGCGTTGATGCCTCCTTAGAATGGCGATCTTGGAGAAGACCCTGGGATCAAAATGGAGAATGGGACCTACCGTAAGGATCAGATGAAAGGTAGTTCTGGCAAAGCTCCACCGAAATTTGTACGACCCTACCGCCACGGATCCAGAAATCTTGCTCTTGTACAATTGCTGGTGCGAATCTTGCTAAACACCAACCCTCAGAACAAGTCCTTCCCAGTAATAAGACCCCCTGCTACATGTTGTTTTTGGGAAGATGCTTTGGCGAAGCGCTGCCCAAACGAGGCTTGAACGCACCAGAAATTAATCAATTTCTGTCAAGCTCGGGATAGCCTCAACTAAGCTGGATGCGGTCAAGATCCAGGTTGTTTTGGTTGGTCCTACTCTGGTTGTAACGAGCTGGCATTGTTGGAGCTGTTCTGAAGCACAAAGTCCACAATAACAAGAAGCCTGTTTCAAGCCTGGGCTTTTCGTGTGTGGGGGTTTGGGGTTCAGAGGTTAGGGTTTAGGGTTTGGGAAGGATTTCCCTAAACCAAAAAATCCTGCTCTTACTTCTGGCCACCGCCTCGTGTGGGGCTCATGGTGCGCAATCCTTTGAAAACTCTACGAGAGCTTCTCACACTTCGGATGTGCATATAACCGCCCACATGACGTAGTCCGTACTCTACAAACCCTAGACAAGGATGTCTAGGGTCTCCCTGAGCACCTACGCCGTAAACTCTTATCCCTATACTCTCTTAGTACACAGCCCTCAAACTGGAACCCTAGACCCTGAACCCTGCACCCCTAAGCCACGAACCTGAATCCCTAAACCATCAATCTAAATTTCCAGGCCCCAAACCTTGAACCTTCAGTCCAGGATCCTTCCCTACCTGTACCTCGAAAGAAAGGTAACATGATGCCCCCAAACTCCCAAAATGGTCGAAAAGGCAATTTGTTCTACATACGAATCCAATATAGACCCCCAACATATTTATAATCCGTATTCTGGAAGCGAAGCCCAAGCTACATACTTTGGGGTTTCAGGAAATCTCTGGGCCAGGTAAGCCCTAAACCCTAATCCCTAAACCCTAAACCCTAACCCCTAATCCCTAAGCCCTAAACCCTAAACCCTAACCCCTACCTAATCCCTAAGCCCTAAAGCCCTAAACCCTAGCCCCAAATCCCTAAGCCCTAAAGCCCTAATCCTAATCCCCGAACCCCAACCCCCAGACTTCCAACAACGCCCCAGGCTCGCCCGCGCCCTCGGCCTCGGCCGCGCGCCCGGGCACGAAGCTGCAACCTTGAGCATTTCATCCAGCGGGGGGGGGCTTCAAGGGGTGACAGGGGTGGTCTTGGGATATGTATATATAATGGTATACACGTATATAGGGGCTCTATAGGTATATCATCCCAAGAGGAATTATAGGCTTTGGAAAAGGAAACGGATGCTGATCTTCTCTAGGTGTTAGGAGGGATTAGGCAGTTGCGGGGCGGACTTAAAACCCATGTTTAGGTGGGTGTGTAGGGATTATAGGTTTAGGGTTTAAGGTAAAGGTCAAGAGTGTGCGGCTTAGGGTTTAATATCTATAGGGAATGCCAGGGAAGGTCTGGGGATCTGGAGGGATTATGCATGAGGGCTTCATGGGGAGTCAAAAGGTTTCGTGCAGGGGGTTAGGGATGACGTAAGGCTTATGCGGCAACTTGATCCGAAGGGTGGACAATGAAATGGTACATGGAAAATGAAATGATTGAAATTTGGTTATGTGGCCGCTCAGCGGTTGGGTTACGGATGGTTTACAATAATTTGGGGTGTAGGTTTAGCGTCTGGGGTGAAGTGTTAGGGATTATGGTCAGGAATCAGGTCTTCAGGGCGAAGGGTTACGGGGTGCGGTTAACAGGCGTGCTCGAGCTTTAGGGCAAATGGTTTGGCGTTTCTCACCTTGGGTGCCCAGGGGTTTAGGGTTTAGGGGTTCAGGCTTTTATGGGTTGAGGGTTTAGGGGTTTAGGGAATGGTCCTGATATTCTGACACTACAAAAACACCTGCAGCGGGAAGCTATGCGGATCGCAGAGGGGCTATGACAAAGAAAAGTTGCAGGATGTGGGCACCAAGTGTTATGGGCTTTTGGATCAACTTGCTTCAGAGCACCTATATACTGATTAAGCGCCTAGTTCTTGTTTGAAACGGCCTTTGGTTGGCTGGGAATGAAGGAACGGAAAAGAAAATGGAGACTATTATCATGTGTTATACAGGGAATACCATAAGGATCCATTCCTTGATTCCTAGGAAACCCAAGCCTAGTGAATTGCACATATGGAAAGACTAGTCCAGAAAGCCTTCGGGCAGCTGAGCACCTGCAGTCATGCATAAGGACCCGCTCACTCACCCTCAACCCTAAACCCTAAAGTCTAGACCCAAAACCTTAAACCCTAAAGCCTTTTGCACCAAAAGGCTTTCCACTCGAGAGCGGGGGTGCGGCTTCACTGCGGTTTACGGGGTTATATGGGGGCATGTTGGGATAATTTGAGAGAAAATGCAAAGCCCGTCCTGTTTAGGGTATAGAGTTTAGGCCATTGAAGATTTGGACTCGCAGCTTCTGGGTCATACGGCCCATGGAAGGATGTCATAGAATATGAACACGACTTTGCAATCAGGGTCGCATGCTAGTGCCTGCTTTTTTTGCATTTGCGGGGGAACCTTGAAGGGAGGAGCCGCGGTCCCTGAATAAATGACGTGAACCGTCACACCAATCCCTCATGTATAGAGCGAAAGCCCCACAGCCCACGCACAGACACACAGCACAACTCTGCCTAGTCAATGGAACACAGTTCTTCATGGATATGCGCATCACTGCCCGCGAATCGCACCAAAGTCACCAACCTCCGCATCCCAATATCAAACACCCTCCCGCTAAAACGGAAACTGCCTGTACAGGGAGTAGAAACATGAGAAATATCCATGTGAATGGGAGGTTGCCCAAGTTTTTACTTTCTGGGGATCGATGATATTTAGGGATTATCCTCAACCAGTTTCACATAAAGCCGGGCGGCGCTTGCAGCATGGATTTGGACTTCGGATTGGGTATGGCTTCTGCCACTGGCCTATCACAAATGTGGAGATGATTCAATTAAGGATACTCTTGGGGTCTTTAGAGATGTATGTGGGTTACCAAGCTTGTTTCCATTGTCGCAATATCTGTTGGCAACCCTGAAAGCTAAACCCTGTCTCTTGCATCCTTCGGTTTTGCTGGTGGGGAGGACGCCTCTTAACCTGTTCTCTGAATGGCGGGCAGTTCCCAGGTCTGGATAGAAAGTTCCCAACTTCTTCTAATTCCATTTCATGTTCCATGATTACCTGGCACCTCTAGACCGGTATATAGCCCTGTACCCTAAACCCTAGGCCTAAAACCCTAAAACCCTAAACCTTAAACCCTGCCTTTCCACGGGGATCAGAGGCGGCATGTCAGGATCTGTCCCCGAGCTGTCGCCATCATCCTCCAAGGTCTATAAAGGGACAGCTGGGGTTTAGGGATGTTGTGTTTGGGCTTTAGGGTTTGGGGTTTGGGATTTAGGGTTGCGAGGGTGCATAGTGGGGCTGTATAGGGATAACGGAAAATGGAAACCACTAGACTGAAACAGGGTAAGTAGTGGGTTTTATCTAAGGATAGTGGTAAAGACAAAGGAAACGACTAAAGTAACTACTACAGGGGGTTTATAGTAGGGTTGCGAGTTTAGGGCTTAGGGTCTAGGATAATATGGGGATAATGGCAGTGGAAATGCAAACTACCCTTCAGGGGTTGTACAAGCTTCATATAGGGTGTGGTGTGTGTATATATATATATATGTACATGGGTTTTACGGGGATGATGGACAAGAACTCGGAAACTACAGGCTAGGGTCTAGGGCTTGGGGCTAGAGTTGAAAGATATTCTTGCGCTTCTCAGGGGTCGTTGCCAGCTAGCGACTACAAACATCAACTTTGCCCTGTTACTACGGCTGCACACCAAAATTACAATCTTTGCAGGAAGAGAGATGTTCATTTCTAGTATTTAGTTCAGGGATTGTCTGGGCCTTTGAAGACATCAAACTCCAGGTACTTGAGGTGGGTGTTGCTACCGGGGATGTGTCGGGCTGAAACATCTTGGAATTGTGGGAGGCACGGCAGCCAGGGAAACGCCCAAGGGCCCAATCACTGCTTATTTGAGCAGGTATGTCGAGGGTTTAGAGCTCCAAGTGCACACAAGCCGACACCAGTGTAGAAGCCTGAATACCTACCAATATTATTCCAAATATACAATGAAGAACACAGAATATGCTCCGTAGTCTAATCAGTTAGGGCCCAATCCAAGCCTTTAACAGCAGCTACCAGACCCTAGCGAAGCAGATTGTTGCGGGGGTCATATAGAAACTCTAAACCCCCAATCTTCAGCCTGAAAACTACATGTTAAATCGGGCTTAGGGCTCAGGGAAGCCCAAGAGCCACTACGCCCGCTCCTTGTGGTTGCATACTCTCCCATTGGGATAATGGATAATCAAATGGAAACTACTATGTTTAGGGTTTTTAGGGTTTAGGGTTTAGGGCTACCCATTGGGATAATGGAGAATAAAATGGAAACTGCTATAATAGGGCCCTAAACCCTAAACCCTAAACCGTGAGAGAAAGTCACTGGACCCTCCCGTCCTGGGACTTTGCTACGGGCACTTCGCTGGCTGCCATGGCGTCCGCCAAAGTCATGAGCAGGACTCTGAGACTTCGAAAAAATCGTACCGTGTAGGAGCTATGATATATAAGACATATACATATACGTATACATACACATGTATACATACAGGATCTAGTGCTTCGGGACTATAGGATCAACAGTCAGGGTGGGATAGGGCTTTCCAGACGTGGGGGTCTCCTTTTCGGGCAGTCCCTACAGTAAGGATGGCGGTATCGGGGCAAAAGGGAGCCCCAGGCTTGGAAAAGCACAGCATCTAGGGCCAGGGGACTGGAGTTTATGGCTGCGCTTCTCAATAACCCTAAACCCTGATGGGGCTGACTAGGTCTCTGTTGGAACCCAGGAGGCATATTTGTGTTGCGGCCGAGCTATTTTTTGGCTGATAGCTGTAGCTGCGGTAGTCATTGTAACCTGAGGTCTCTAACCCCCCCAAGCCCTAAAACCCTCCGCATGTGGAAGCAGCTGCAAACGAAGCAAATACCCAACAGTACCTACACACTCTTACCCTTTTTTGGTTTCTGCTCCAATCATTATCTGCTGCCACCCCGCAACCCTAAACCAAGAAACCCCCAAACCCTAAATCCCTAAACCCCAAACCCTAAATTCCTAAACCCCTAAACCCCTAAACTCCTAAAACCTGAAACCCGAAAGCCTGACACAGAAAGCTCTCGAGGCGCCGGACATAAACCATAGACATGACAGCCGCTGCGGTCCCAAAGGCCTGACGCTGCGAAAATTATAGTAGATTATGGTATAGGGTTTAGGGTTTAGGGTTTAGGGTATGAAAATATATCATAGCATATTATGTTAGATTATGGTATATTATAGTATATTATGATATATTATGGTATATTATAGGGTAATCTAGACCCCTGACTAATAAAACCCCCTCACATTAATAGGGATTAGAAGGGGGATCCTAATCTGTAGGCCCTTAAACGGAGAGGGTTTATTAGTCATTGGTCTACATTACACGCTTCCGGGTGGTTTAACCCGCATGGATCTCAGGCATCCAGGAATCTGCTTGCATTTCTGCTGTCAAACATAGTGGTAAATCTAGAAAGGAAAAAGATGAATGTGGTAGCAGGACCCCTTGAGATGTGAAGCGGTGGTATACTTACCTTCGGCACCGACATATACGTGGGATTCAAACATGTTTCAGGAGATTCCTGTCCACCCTCAAACCTAAACCCTAAAACCCTGAAAGCCCTAAAACCTAAACCCTCAAAACCCTAAACCCTAAAACCCTGAAAACCCTAAACCCTTGTGATCAACTTTTGAACCTCGCATGCTTCTCGCCGTGGAGTATCATGCCGAGGCACCCTCCTACTCTGGGAATTCGGTTGCTGACTTGCTGGTTCTTAGTGAATAATAAAGGAATATGTTCTAGAGGGCGCCTATAGATGTTTAGGGTTTAGGGTTTAGGGGATATATACATGTAAGGGTCATATTCCCTTGTTCCCTACTGAAATCCAGCAAGTTAAGGGCAGCATCAGAATTAATAAGCCCATGGCAGACTTTCAGGCAAATCCAATTGGCAACGTGCCTGCGGCCCCATATCGTTCTCCGCTTGCTTGACCATTTTGGTGCAAACCTAGTCCCACGGGGCAGTGTAGGCATGCTCTTTTGGAATGAATGCGCTCGGATCGTATGCATGAAGCTACAGTAACAGGAAGCCTCTGAACCTACTACAAGGTCCCCAGGTAACTCCTATACCATAAACCCTATATAACCCAATATAACCGAATAATCCCTATATAAACCCTATCTAATCCCAGTAGGTTCCATTTTCTTTTCCACTATCCCAATTCCACCCCAATAACCTACAGCCCCACATTCCAGCAGAACTTACGCGCAGCGAAGCGCCAGAATGCAGCATTGCTTCTGCCATGCAATCTGCTTTGAGGACCAGGTTTCAGGGTTTCAGGTTCAGAGTTTTGGGTTTAGGATTTAAGGTTCAGGGTTTAGGATTTAGATTTTTGGTTTAGGGCTTCGGACGTTTGATTCCACCTGAGAAAACTTTATGAAACTAGGCGTGCTGAAAAACAACTTCCCAGTAATTCTGATGTCTTGCCTTCGAATCCATCCTGGGAGCGGGGTCGAAAAAACTAGTGATGGACTAGGGTTCAGGGTTTGAGCCACTATTTTTCTCAGGGCAGGGGATGAGTCGTAGCCCTGAGGTCCCAAGAAGCCTTGCATCCTCGCAGGGCTTCATGTAAGAAGCTGTGAGCCATGACTCATACAAGATCCGCATGGGCATAACAAATCCTTAACAATAAGCCCTACACCCCAAACCCTAAACTCTGAAGCCTTCCTTCCTCTACATGCTAAATCCTAAACCCAAAATCCTAACTACCCTAAACCCTGAATCCTAGACTCTAAACCCTAAGACCTTCGTTGGAAATGTGGCCGAAGGCCTGCGTGAGCACGATAAAGAAGGTGCCCGTGAATTCGGAGGCCAGGAGTGCGCTCTCCTGGCTTGTCTCCTGAGGAGTGTTGAATCATAGGGGTTATATGGGGATTATACTGGAACCCTAAACCCTAAACCCTATGTATCAGGGTTATTTTGGGATGATGGAAAATAAAATGGAAACTACTATTTAGGGTTTTGAGTTTTGGGATGACATTGGGGGTGGTATAGGGAGTGGATGGGGAACGGGGCATGCAGAGGGGATTCAGGTTTACCAAACTCCCAGCTAAGGACCCAGTGCGGCCTATTATTTGACTCCTATAGTTATATACCACAGTAATTTCGACTTTATTTTGCATCGTCCCAATATTACCCAATATACTATA